CACCGTCTCGATTGTAATAACTGGGTCTGTATACTGTCCCACATTTGGGGTCTGATCAACCGCGGAAACGTCAATCAGCATGAAACCTTGCAGCTAAAGTAAAGGACCTTACTTACTTGAGCAATTCAAAATCACAGTCTGGACCGTGTGCACGCCATCGATGTCGTGAAGGTAGCCGTTTATGCGAGAATGGACGTGTAACACATAGGAGTTGTCCGGTGTGCACACAATACAGTGTGAAAGTGGTGAGCGTAGGAATCGTTCATACATGTTGGGTTGGGTGATCCCCGGTAATGATGGTTGGATACCGTGTTCGCGGATGGATGCTGCTGGATCGTTTCGGCACATGCGCAAAAAGGGGAACGATATACGCCATAGGTCGGCCATTAGGTTGCTTGCGGGGTGTTGCGTTGATAGAGCAGTTTGAAGGAATGGTAAGACGGGGTTGCGATTGGGTGAGAGACGTAAAGATTGACCGGCGCGATGGTCAACTTCAGCTGCCAGGGTGGCAAATCGGACGAAGTCTGAGACGGTCAGTGACCTCGAAAGGTGAGGAGACTCGTGATTGAGTTGTGATATGAAATCACGGAGGAGCATTGTAGGGAAGTGGTTGGTTATCGGGAGAGGGACGCCAATGTTCGAATGCGGGTCAGGCTGAGGGTTGCTTGATAGAGTAAGACTGGGGGATTGGATGAAGGCGAGCGAATCGAGGTGCGTCCGAGTAAGATCCGTGGATTGGTTGTGAAGATGGGAATCTGAAAACCTTAACCTCTGATTCTGCTGAATTGTGGTTGGATTGTTTATTTACCTCGATATCGATCGATCTGGTTTGGGCAGTCGAGGTCAAGAAGCTGAGGTTGGGGGTGTGGTGCAGCAGGAGGTGGTTGAATCTGAGGTTGGATATGGTTGGGATGGGGATGATCCCGAATCGGGGGAATGAACATGTCACCTGCTGGATACCCCTCGACCCACCGTCCGGCCACCGGCTATCTGAGTTCCGACTTAATGGACAAAAGGTTTCGTCCGTCTAACATTAAGTCAGTATGTGCAGGTTGTGGTTGGGAATTTACATACGCGTTTCTCAGTATAATCCCATACATCATGGGAATTCAAAGGATTCTCAGACTTCTCAGAGCGTCTCAGGGGTTCCCCGGTTCTTCGGTTTACCGACGTGCATAAAAGTCGCGAAGGAAAACGCGAAGGGTGAAATACAACTCGCCAAGGTTTATGCAAACCTTTTGGATCCGACCCCGGTTTTGTATGCGGATAGATACATACAACTGAGGAATTTCTTCCCTCTCTATGAGAAGACACAAGCAAACATGGATGAGAGGATGAAACAACACTTAATTTACAAGTGTGGGCTCATCAAGTTTCCATCTTCATGAAATCCCAGTATATATAACACAAGTACAGAATAAACCATCATATCACAACTTATGGTAAAGTGCATCAATATGCAATAAATCTGGACAAGAGGGGGATCATCCAGAAGATCAGTATGTGATAAGAGCATTCACGATGGTGCCCATATTTTGTGGGCTCTGAAACAGAGCCTCCCGGCCATAATTCTCAAATATTGGGGGGGAAGAAAGTGTGTACAAACAACAAACCACATAGATTTACACAAAAAACCTAACTCAACTGAGTGCCTCTTGGACAAGGTCAACAGAGGGACTTATGACTTATCCACAAAATTTGATGTGCTGTGAAGGGCACCTGTGGCTACTAGACTCCTGGGGTATTACCCAGAGAAATATATGTGATTCCCAGCGGGTAATACCCCCATTCAATATGTACGAGTCGACGCCGCGGTAGCCAGGTCCTAAGACTTGCTGCCCTAAGGCCAGATTCCAAGGTCCTGCTGAAGGACGTGTCTTCACGTCTATGACACGTCTTTTGTGCTGAGACTCGCGCTGAAGACAAGTCCCTTCCTCTACTTCACAACTCCGAAATTCACAACGCCATACCCTCCTGTAATACAAGACACGTCTTTTGTGCTGAGACTCGCGCTGAAGACAAGTCCCTTCCTCTACTTCACAACTCCGAAATTCACAACGCCATACCCTCCTGTAATACACACTCACCACACTCCCCTCTCACTCCCTCAACGACTTCGACTCTCGACTCTAAAGTCACGATCATCATTCATCTCAAACAATTCAATCATCAACATCAACATCAACTCATTCAAGACTATCAAACCTCAATACAAATCATTCCACTGTTGATCATGTTGTTTCAAACTCATCTCAAGCTCTCTCAAGCCCGCTCATCAAGATATTCAACATTGACAGCAAAACCAACATCCTAAGACAAACGCAATCCTAAGTCGTCAAATTCAAAACTCAATCAAGCAAACTTTTGATCATGATTGACCAACAACTTACTGACTTCTTTTCTCTGTTCATTTTAGTCAGTTGCAAGTAGATCACTTCGTCCGAAAGAAATCATTCAGGCCATCTTATCAAATCTCGATTTTCAAAAGTGTTACCGCCGACCATACTCAACCTCACCGTGCATCGGATCTTGTCACTAACTTGACTACACAATGAATCCACCATCTCAAAACATCATTCCCAATTGATACATACGTACAACAGACTTTCATCTATATCTGAAGACTTTTGACTGCATCAAAACAAAGGATCGAGACCAACCCAAGTTATTTGTAAATACAAACCTATGTGTACCTTTATGCACTTAAAAGTATATTTTACAGCATTAACCCCCATCAAAAGTTATCTTTGTGGGGTTATCACTTGATGTGTTTCAGAAACATCATCAGACTTTTGTCCATAAGAAGAGTTACACATCCAAGGATGTGGTTTTTGTATGTTACAGTATCCAAACGACGATTCAAGTTATGAACAAAGTTTGTTCAAGAGGGACGACGGATCTGGAAAAAGCCTTCACGTGCGATCCATCAACATCAGCTGAGGAACCTAAGTTGTTTGAACTTGACGTAAAATTCCTATTGAAATGAACCGAGAGCAGTAGGTGTAATTTATGATGTTCTGCGAATTGAAGAGTAGTAGAGAAAGTACTTTGTAGTTTAGATTACTTTGTGTAGTTGATGTGATAAAAGATGTGATAAAATTAAAATTGATTTCAGCCACTTGTAATTGAGACGATGAAATCGATTTCAATCATCAAACGGATATTTTTTCAACGGCACCTTTAGAAGTTAATGTGAAATAATCTGGAAAGATTGTATCGCGAGTCTGATGTATAGCTATAAGAAACTGGACTTGATTGACCTTTAGCAAGTTGAACAAAACAAGAAAACACTAGATATTGATATATTCGATTGAGATAGCAGTAACAAGAATGTATGTGAAAGGATCAACCGAGGAAAGAATTTGAAAGTTCACTACATATGTCATCGCCCACAAATAAAACATGGAAATATGTAAAATTGATTTGATACTATTATACGAGTCACAAATGGCTCCATCATCAATTCTCATCATCATACTCAGTCAGCACTGCCCAACCCGAACCACTCCTCTTCCTCTTCCAAATCTTTGTCAGTATCAAGGCCTGTGTTATTAGCTTCATTTGTACTTGTTTCATTTTGCTTATCTTGCTCTTGAATCTGTTCATCTTGCTCTCGAATCTCTTCATTTTGCACATTTTGGTTGTTGGAATCGCCGTTGACCATCTTCATTGTGAACAGTCCAGCGTTGAGATCGTTGAGCCAGAGTGATCGCTTGCTATTCATCGCATTGAAACCTAGCTTTAAGATCTCGCGAGGCAGGGTTGAACCAGGAAGCTGGATAAGCTCGACTGGGTAGCCCTTCTGTGGCAAAAGAGTAAAAGGGTCTGGACCTCGGGGAAATCCTAATGTTTTGCATTTGATCGTGTTCTCTGGTGTATTTGGATTTGTCAGTACTAACCAAATCAAAAAGACGGAAAAGTACTGATAAAACCTACCCAACAAAGTGCGCAATTGTTTTGCTAAGTCTCCCTTCACTTTATCGCCGTTTGAAACCTTGATACTGTTGTTGGTTGTTCGCCTGCCGATCTCAGTTGCAATCACAGCGTTCACCGACAGACCTTGTACGTGTGAAGCAAAAACGGTAGGAAAATTGCACTTCTCTTCAAAAAATGCTGACATTTGATCATGAGAGGTAAACTCTTGACACCATCCCGGTGCTTGCGAACTACCCTGTGTAAGAGCGTGATTACTCGCTGCAAGGAAATAATAAGCAAAGTCCATGTGATTGGACTCGGTTTCGATCTAAAACATGCAAAAAGAGAGAGGGAAAGGTAAATAAAGATACGAGAGATGAATGATCAAAATTCTACTCTGGTACCCATTGATTTGAAAGTACCCACCTGGTTGTGAAGTTTTTTAACACACTTCAATGATCGCTGGTTATAATCGGGCAGTGATGTCCCACCTTGAGGTATTCCAGCAGCTACCTTTGCATAGACGCTGGATACCTTTGAGGTTGATACCATTTCATCATACAATTGCTGCAATTGAGATCGTTCTTCGGGAGTCAAGGTGATATCTGCATCATCATCATCATCGCTGTCGTTGTTTGATGGGGGACGAGGAAGACCAGATAGGCTGTAGAATATTGGTGGGTGGAATACTCGTTTTTGCTCTCGGGTGAGACTCTTCCAAATAGCTGATGTTTGGCGATTTCGTTCACCTAGGACTCCTTTCTCTCCTCTACGGGGCACTAGGTGGGCGGAATATGAGATTGACACCTACATTAGTGTCTAGAAAGTACACCAGAGGATATAGGATGTGAAACTCACTGTTGAGCCCACTAGATCCACCAGTCGCCTTGGAAAATCGCTGCCAAAGCCGCAAACAATCCGGATTCCTAGTACCTCCAAGCTCGCCACTACAGGATAGATCAAGATGACCACGAGTCAGTTTCAGAAACCAAATCGATGCAAGACAATCACTTACAGTGCTTTATCTAAAGTAAATGATGTTACCCCCGCCATCAATGCAAGAACAGCCTTCTGCTTTTTATAAAGCTTCTTGATTGCCCTAGCCTCGGTCAATATGTTCTCAGGTACAGCAGTGCCTTTCACCTGACCCTCTAGAGCTTCGTCGATACGCCAACCAGGCCATTCTTTGAGCTGAGTCTTGTAATTATCTAAAGTGGGAAGAATATGAGAACGATGTTTGTCGGGATTAGATCTTTGATGGGATAGACTAAGAGAGTTATCGCATGTGATATTGAGTTGAGTTGAACTATCTC